AAAAAATGTATTATCAAATAATACGCATCGCATGCGAGTTAATCCGGTAGTAGAGGATTTTTTTATTATATTCGACAGTGGCATAAATTGATGTGAATGAATATTGATTTAGCAACGTCTATACAGCACGATTCTTTTAACACTAGCTACTCAATTTCTCTTAAAATAATAACTTTTTTGTGATTTATTTTAAACTTTTCTTAGTTACATAGTATCTTCAATTATCTGCATAATATTTTTTATGTTCATTCCTTATACATAATAAGGGTGTCGACTTGATTATTTTTAAGTGGCAACATACATGTATAACTAGCTTATAGAAAATAATTCAATTAAGATCATCTTACTCAACTCTTGAAACAGTATTTCAGAAATTATTAACCTTTTTATACCTAGACAGGAGAAGTCGACTTTGAAATGTCTGTTGTAAAAATAGCAACACCCACGCCATATCTCCAGTCAATATTTTAAATTACTTCTGAAATACTGGTCCAAAATTTCTTATCGACCAGTCATTTTCTTAATTACATCATTTTTTATAAACTAGTTAAATATGTATGTTTCCATTAAAAGTCGACACTCTTATCAGTTATACGGAGTAAACATAAAAAATATTGCATAATAGACAAATAGAATTAGACATGTAACTATACTAAGCTAAAAAAAATTCACAAAAAAGTTGTTATTTTAAGAAAAATTAAGTCGCTAGTGTTAAAAGAATCATCCTGTATGTTATTTTGGGTATAAGGGGAGTGTAGGAGTAAAAGGGTCTTTGAACATGTAAAAGTGTAATAGGTGTCACCGCCAGTACTTCCAAAGGATAAACTAAAAAGGCTTATGCTGTTCTCTCCTGTTACATGACGGTGATGGCATAAAAGCTTCTCTTACGGCAAATGTGAAAACGGAGATACGCTCAGACGCTTTAATCCAGTAACAAATCAAATGATATCAAAAGTAGATAAACTTAGATGTATGATGCCAATATTTATTCAGCGATCATCAACAAATCGTAATATAAGTTTATATGTCATGACATTTAAAAAAAGTATTTTTGAATGTTATTTAAAATTACTTAAACCTTTATAATTTTCGGTAAAAAAATTTAATTTGAACAATTATTAATTGAGATACAGATAACTAAATGGTTCAATATGAGTCGGCATAAATTAAAGATTATTTATTATTTAAATAGAACTTATGTTTTAAAAAATTATTTAAAAACCAACAGTTTCTATGTTCTCACATATTTAATAATAATGCATTAATTACAATGCTATATATTAGGAATATATGATTGTTTGATTAGTGACTTGAAATTACCTGATTTTAATGTAAGTATTGACTTTTTAATGTATTATTTTCATGCTGTATAACATATTTTGTTAAGAGCTAGATTCTTGGTAACCAAAAACCAAAAAAACCTAACATTTAAACTTTTATTTAATACACTGAATATTATGAAGTTATCGTAATATATAGATGCTGAATAAACCTCTACTCCTATTCGTGAATAAGCAATTATTTAATTGATTATACTGTTGGATGTTGATATTTTTACTTTCAAAGTTGACAATACATGTAATATGTATTAATTTTTTTAAATTTAAAATTCCATCAATTAAAGAACCTTGCTGCTTCGTAAGCAAAATTCTAAATAATTCATTTTTAACAGACTCATTCTTGTTTTGATGACTATTATATTAAAATTTAAATAAAATTTTAACCCAAAAGCTTGGGTTTATTTTATAAGGGGTGTGACACCTTCAAATCATTACATTAAGTTATAGTTTAAAATCATATAAAACGGTCGGTATTTTTAGGATATATTTTGGATTTTTTTCTACTTAAAATTAATTAAGTCAGCAAATTTATCATCAATAATTGGCAAAATTTACTCCACCCTTCCTAAAAATTATCTCTAGGGTGTCGGCAGCAGGCACTTAAAAGTCATTTGGCTAATGAATAGGTAAAAAATCGGCTGGTAAATTGATAGCAAACGATACTGTTGAAAATAAAACACTTTTCGGTCATTAATCTTTTTTTGTCGTGATCGAATTTAAATAGAACGGGCGTAATACAATTAGTAAAAATAAATCGCCAGTTCAATACGTGTTCGACATTTGACATTAAACGTGTAATAACATTTCATATTTTAGCAATCCTAAACCACGTGCATACACCTTCTATAGTTACACTACAACTGTTTATTTATACGGTTGCGAGTCACCTGTTTAAACACGGTATAAAATAACGACATAAACTCATTTTACCTATCGTTGTTTTTATTATTCACAAACAACTATTGGGACTGGAATTTTCATTCATTTGCTTTTGCATTGCGCATGTAAACGGGTATCTAAATTTAACATACCGATAACTTATTACTATCAATATATTAGTTACCGATAGATAATTAAAAAGTCATTTTTAGGAATTTTATAGAAATTACAGACCGAGATACGACAGTATTAGAAAAAACTGCACAAATTTATTTATAAATACATTGTTGTTATTGGCCTTAATCGGTATGATTGTTAGGCGAATGTTATCAAAACCATTACCGTATAAACGTATGACAAACGATGTCATTATATTGACAAGAAAACTTCAATCGGTACACACGAGTCCCAGTACCGTTTCGGTCAGGATCAAGTATTTATGAGACTGTAAAAAAGGAACTAATAACGCGACAAACTGTTGCTCCGTTTTTATGTAAAACGTTCGCCACAAATGTGTCGACTCAACTAAAGTTCTACTTAACGAGATTGTCACATTAACATTCCTAGAAACGCAAACGTTGCGTTATTTTGACAATTACTAACTGTTGTAAATTATATAATTCTAAAGGATTCACAATTATTATAATACCTTAATATTTAATTTAAGTACAAACATTTTGCTGATAATTTATAAGTATACAATTATAGACATGTTTAGTATTGCGTTATATTCCATCATAATAAAAAAAAATTTAATTAACGCTTGCACACAATTTATACTATTAATACTAGGAAACGGTGAAATTATATATATTTTTTGAAAAATACGCCTATACAAATAGTGATGAGTTTAGTATTTGATAACTAATATCTCAATAGAAGAAAAATATTTCGGAGAAGAAAAAATTGATTATCGAAATAGTTATTGAAACCTAAGAGCATTTCTTTTATTAGAACCATGTAAGTAAAGAAACTAATACAAATTAAATAAAGAGCTTTTTTTTTTTTACTCTGGATATTTATTATTTTTTTAATTACACACAAAATCCAGTAGCAATTTACTATATTAACATTTAAGAAATTTGATAAAACGTTTAAAGACAATCAACGATAAAGTAATTTTCGGTCACTATCTGAAACTTTTTTTTTATTTTACTTTATTTAAAAAAAATATATCTATAAATAATTTTAATGATAACGTATTAAGCATGTCAATTGTATTTTCACTAGAGTAACTGTCAAATAACGAAATTTCAAATGTAAATCAACTTCACTACTGTATTATTTTTGATCGCAAAGCCTAGTAGATATACTAAGAGTTCGTCAGTGATTATAGTCTATTTAAAAGTTTACTCTAAAGTATGGATTGTTTTAATACTAAATATTTTATAACCTGTCGTTTGATTTGTTTTTCTTGTACCAACCAGTTACATTTAAAAAAAAATAAAATAAATGCTCACTTCAATACTTATTTCCTGAACAAAAAGCATTTCTCTGAATTAAACATTCAAAGTAACTGCCATTTAAAAGGTCTCCGACAACATTTTAATTATTTCCACAATAGAACTTTCTACATGATATTCTAGACAAAATGACACGCATATTATATATGTAATAACAATTTCTTAACATAATTCATCAAGTGTTTTCAAGTCACTTAATGAATATTCAAAATAAAAAAACGTTTAACTGTGTAAGATTTCGTGAACAAGTTTGACACATCAAAGGAAAACGTACAAAGTAGGTTCAAACACCAAAGAACATATTATTCTTAATTCAAAACTACAGCAAGTAGAGCAACCTAGAGGAGACTTGTCGTTCACTACCGAAGGATAATTAAGAAACGGTATAAAAGCAAATTTCATATAATGTCTAGCAAACACGCGGTTAGAATATGTAATCAGCAAAGATGAGTAGTAGAACCATAAAAAAAAAAAAAAACCGTTTTATTACTTTTAGATTTAGCCGAAAACAGTTTATTATTAAATCCACGCAAATAGAAGTGTATTATTTTAGTGAAATAATGACCATAACAACAGTGAACCTTCTCTAACCAGAATTTTTTCAAGACGACAACCGTTCAAAGATATTATTCGTAAAAAATACGTACATACGAAGGCTACACAATTTTTTTCAACAAAAACTGAAGGAAAAACCAAAGTCGCGGCAGTTATAAGTAATATTTGATAATAAAACCAAACGGATTTTATTAAATGGAGATCGTTATTTTTAATAATTATAGGTGAACAAATTTGTTCTGTCTATAATTAGGTTCCTACAAATATTTACACAAAAACACTTGACGGAGGACATAATAAATAATTAATACTTCGCCCCGTCGATGATAAACGCGCATGTTGGATACTACAAGAATTACTGAAATTACATTTCACATTATTATTACTTTTACACGTAATTTTCAAGTGAAAAAACGTGTAAAGCGATTCAATAAAGCGTCAAATTTTCATAACAAATACCAAAAAGTATCAAATTTATGGAGGGTCGTTGAACTCGAGTTTTTAGTAGGTATTATTTTCGTTTTGCGTTTATCGTACAATTACACACGATAATGTTATTTAATATATTCACCAAACGTTACAGAAAACAAACGTACGAGAACTCTGGGAAGAATATTTTACGTTTGCAACCTTAGATGAAATTTGATTGGGAACGAATACGAAGTAATGATATCTATTTTTTACATTAATTTAAATAAAAAAATAATCCAACGAACGTCGGGGCTTACATAATAATATTACAATGACATAACTGTGCTCTTACCTGGTTCGGAACGATTGTCTATGCGGACGGCACTGGCTTTGACGGGAATATCACGGCAAGGCGATATCGGACCCTTGAGATGAATCAGCAGCGGGCGGCCCTAGCCGAATAGCCGACGGCACATGCTCCGAACGCGGACGGTAACAATTAATCAACGCACAACGACTTTTTTTATTGGTTATTTCGATCGCACAATAATCACCACTAGAATTGTTTAGATTTTTTCTCGTATACTTTTCTCGCACATCACTGTTTTCCGCACAATTACTACTATTTCCACCGGTTCAGATGGACGCCGATCATTTAACGCACTCGAACACACGGAAAACTGACGCACCACACGCACTGCCTGACGGACCGGGCGAACGCACGTTCATAGACCGACCAGCGAACACGACACACTGGCTGGCGGCACGGCAGCAACGGCACGTCCGGACCGTACGGGATCCGGTCTCTTCGGCGCGTGCGGCCCCCGCCGCAAAACGCGGTCGTCGGCGTTACAGCTGACAGTGGCGTGGCGTGCGGAAGAGCGCGCGCTTTTTTCCCATCCTCCTTCTTGATGAACCTGTTGATCTCTCTCATCTCGTTCCGATCATCGGTCTGAAAATATCCCCAAGAAACTATTGGAGTTTTATATGGAGAGGTTTTTGTGCGGCCTTTGAAACCCAATCCGTTTAATTTAAAAAACGCAATACAATCGTAAACACTGTACGATTTGCCGGACATAATTATACTCGAAAATGATTTTTCTTCGATCGATTTATGAGAAAAGCGATCCAGGATAATAATAATGTCGATTTCAAGTAGAATTTATTAAATTATTTTTTTACCCACAGCCCGATCTGAGNCTATGGAGAGGTTTTTGTGCGGCCTTTGAAACCCAATCCGTTTAATTTAAAAAAACGCAATACAATCGTAAACACTGCTGTACGATTTGCCGGACATAATTATACTCGAAAATGATTTTTCTTCGATCGATTTACGAGAAAAGCGATCCAGGATAATAATAATGTCGATTTCAAGTAGAATTTATTAAATTATTTTTTTACCCACAGCCCGATCTGAGGATTCTGGGGAGGCTTTGCCTTTGCCTGTTCTGTCGAAGACAGTTGTACATGTTAATTTGTATAGAATTATTTTTAAGGGGGGAAAATCAACTTAGCTTCCCAAACATTTTTTTGAAAATTGCGCGTATGAGCAACATTTATGATAGATTCTAAAAAGTTCATACGGTCTAGGCTTGTACGTTCGAACACGTTAAGAATACTATTACTTATATTATTCTGCTAACGTGGTATAACGAAAATTCAAGTAGTATACACACTAATCTGATTCCCAGTTGATCAGATTTTCAAGGGCGACTTAAGTGTAAAGGATTAGATTTTTTTCTCTACAAAAACATTTTACTCCTCGACTATTGTGTTAAAATACCTGACGTCACCTGTGTATTTTTTGTAGAAATCGAATCCAAGGAAATTGATTACACACCGATTTGTGTTCACATGCCACAGGGGACGTGCGTGTCGACGAGACAACAATATAACGATGTTAGTTCATTGTAATTTGTAGGAGAGAATAACTTGACACCGTACACGTAACTTACTGTGTAGTAATAGTAAATTACTACTCTGATATCAACCTCAATAACACTGTTTAACAGTTTTAATTTACACCACCTCTGATCCGATCTTTTGTAATTGAATTTCGTTAAATAATATGTGTGCCGACGAGACTGTTAAACTTTTTGAACTGAAACTTCGCGTTTAAGAACTAATACAATCAAAACAGTTTGGAGAAGAAATGCCACAAGATCATTTATTACACTAGCTTTACATTCACTCGTCGAGATCATTGAACTAATTTCTATTTTCTTTACATATACGTGATATAGGCTCATAGATAGACCGCCAATTAACGATTTTTTTTTATTCTTATCGGCTATCCATGAGTTTTGCAACACTTTAATTAAGTTAAACCATTCCTACACTAAAAATGTTATTACTCTGTATATACACATACAAAAATAACATTGTTTGTAAAAAAATGTTTTGAGACGTGGAGATTACTTTAATTATAATCATAGTAGATTAAGTTGACCTTTCAATAGTTCATGAAATGTCATGACGCATTAACACATTTAAGCGAAGCGTCATATAAAATCATATTTTGTGTTGCATGCGTTCTTCTTAATAATTAACCACTTTTAATCGTAGTTAATATTATCCGCTTAAATATCGAATTTTAATGAATGCACTCACACTGAGCTAATTCTCAATTTATTTTGATTATGTAAAAGCAGTGAAGTCAGGCGTAGCTGTTATTGCCGTTGACATGAATACAAACATAATAAAACTGAGGAGATCTCGTAACATTAACGAAATTTAACCTGTTGCCACATTAATGTATTTTGCATTTGTTATTTAGAGCAATAAACGATTTCTAAATGGGCGTTTATATCAATCAAACAGTATAAATACTAATGAAATTAAATTTACTCGTTAAGTTTAGACTGAACGTTCCAAGTAAACATCTGAGAAACTAATATAACAACATACTACCCGACCCAGTAATCTACAAAAATAACATGCTTACCTGTAAATTTGGAGCTGACTTCGATACGCAAATTCTGCACTAGACTGTTCTGCGGGTTTTTAGAAAGTTCAAACGTATCGTACTGCACAATGGAATCGACCTTGAACTTTTCCACCAAAGTCCTGACCATTAGACCACAAGACTGTTTACCCAACTCTTTTAAGTAACCGTCAATTTCGTAAATGATCAAAACTTTTTTCCACGAGTACCTGAAAAGCCCTTTCCAAAACACAGTTTTACGTTTGTGGTGTTCTTCGCATGATCCAACTCATGCTTTACGACTGCGATTGTGAGACGCTCATACCTGTCTAACACATTGGCCACCATATTGGCGATGTGCTGAAATGCTAGTGTTCCGGTCCGAACCAGTAAATAGTATTTGCTCTTAGGATTCTGTTTATCTTGTGAAAAGTCACTTGTCAACCCACCTGCAGTCAACAACGGCACATTCCAAGACTTGATCATTCTCGCAACAAGATCTAAACAAACAACCTTTTTTATAAAACCTATCCCACTAAACAAACTTCCAAATATTTCATTCTTAATCAATGTATAAAGGAGGTATATATAATTTTATTCTGTTAATCATTTCAAAGTTTATGAAATTAACTTGATGTTATTATAACCAAGGCTCAGATTTTTTGAATTTATGCATTTTGTTGACTTATTCTAATTACGCTTACAGCTAGTACAATTTTTTATTAATTGACTTAAAAACTTAGTGATGTATTGTTATCGAGGTTATAGTTTTTGAGGGAAAGCGGGTTTATCTCCCCTAAAATGAAAAATAGTTATACGCAACTATAAATTCTTACGACAAAGTTGAACAAACTTGAGACCCTTCAAAGTGGTATAAGTAAAATTTATAAATGTATATAACTCCAAGCTCTAATTATAACTTGCTTGTTTTCATATTACACTAATTTGATAAACGTATGATAAAGTACATAATACATAGTTTGATAAGAAATTTGTGTTGATTAAACTTTCATAAATAATTTAGTCATTAGATCTAAATAAATAAAATCTAATGAAATATCCTTTTTTCAATCCGAGTAAAAAAAGTCTAACGTTGACTGTAAATAATACCAAAGGATAAGAAAATTAGTTTTAAAATATTTTGTACAAATTTAAAAACTTAGTCATTAAATTTAACTATTTGAGTAGCTATACAATATATTATGCTTAGTTGATAGAGAGAAGAGCTGGACTGCAAATATTCAAGACACGTTTATTGCACGCGAGTATGAATCTGATTTTGAATTGAACAATAAGCAAAGATTAAGAAGGTAAAATTCCCTAAGACGTGATTGTATAACTGATCATAGGTACCATCTTTCGCGTTCCTTATACCTTTTAATCCATTAAATCTAATGTACAAATCTGATAAAATGATTACTCAAATCTAATTTGAACTTCTTACCAGAGATATATAAACAACTATTAACAAAATATATGGTATACTAGAAATATTAATTTAAGGATTTAAATAGAGTAACTATACTGCATACATTTTTTTTTTTGATCTTAAACTTTAAAACAAAATCAAGCACATAAAAATTATAGTTTAAAAATAATATTAAACTATCAAACTGTAATAATAATATCAATTTATACACAAAATATGAAAATAAAATAATTGTATTTTAATAATTATTATGTACTCGTCATGACGAAAACTAAAAATCAGGCTTCTACCAAAGGGCCAGGGTGAGGGATATATGCCTTTTCTGTGGAATCTCTGCTGCTTAAAATAATATAGTAGCTAACTTTGGTAGCTATTAGTTTTTATATTTATCACTATAATCTAGTTATCTAAACTAATATTTGTATTTTTCATAGATTTTTATTACGTATATTCATAAATTGATAATAATATGTACAAATAAAACTATATATTTTATATACACTTTGAAAAAAAATGTCCAAAATTTCACATACTGTACTGGGAGTTTTTAACGCATAAAATGCAAGGACAATTTTTGATAAGTAGTAATAATAATGTTATATTTGGCTAGGAATTTTTGATATTTCAAGCCAAAATTACATTACTTGTGTGTAAAATTCTAGTTCTAGTCCCTCCTAGTTTTTCCAACTTTAACTATTAATTGCAATTGTATAAATCCTTTTTTAGTTTCGATACATGTGCTTGTAGGGTTATCAAAATGAAAACTACTACAGTCACATATTATTGATGTTGTTCAATCTCTAATAAATTTACTTTATATTAACCTTAGTGTATTATTCTAAGGTTAGTATAAAATGTAAATACTAGGACCCCAAAGACCACTCTTGAAAGTTCACTATTTTTTGGTAAGAAATAATTACATTTACACTGGTGAATATTACAAATCTAATAACTTTTGGTTTAATAATTATTTCACTGTAATGTTGGCATTTTTAGACTACGCTAAAAGTACATTTTTCATCATTTTTCTCCAATAAGAAGAAAATAAAAATAAATTGTTTTACATTTTAATATTTTCGACATTTCAAAATAGCCATTGTGTTACAAAAATAGGTCAATAACCACTTTAGGATGAGTACTTAATGAGTTACAAGCATTTTAATATATTGATTGGATATGTAGCGCGGGTCGGTACAACTCTTATTGATGTATGTGAACTTCACCCACACAATATCTTAGTGACTCACATTCTATACAGAATGATTATTTTTACGCTAGTCATTCTCTTAAAACAATAATTACATTAAGAAAATGATTTTTCGTGTTTATATATTCTCGATTTTTCAGATATTACTAACTTTTTTAATTAACACCAAATGAAATTAATAAAAAATCTTGTGAGGTTTTCAACTTTATTTTTTTAATGGCAACATACATAAACTAGCTTTTAAAATAGAAAATTATTTAATTAAGACAATGACTTTTCCAAAAGTTGTAATTGACTAGTCATTTACTTAATATGATCATTTTTTATGTTAAAACTAGTTAAATATAAGCCATTCAAAAAATAAAGTAAATAAAAATATTAGGGGTGAATTAAAAAAGTATTTCACAACTGAAAAATTGAGTATATATTAACCAAAAATCATTTTATTAACATAAATATTATATTAAAAGAAATCGAAATGAATCACATTAAAAGAATCGCCTTTTATATACAAGAGCAAAGGCGTATTATCTTTCGATAAACATTTAAATATATTATAGCAATATTAAACATTTAATTTAGAACAAAAAAAAAAGGTTAGACATATAACGTTTAAAACGAAAAATGTTATCAAAACTTATTCAAAAAAGAAAAACAAAAATAAGTAATATTAATAAATCTTCAGTATCATTTAACTTAATGTAAAACAATTCTTGTTAAAATAAAAATAAATTATTTTCCAAACATCATATTAAAAAAATTCTATGTATAAAAAATGTAGTAAATTGCCTATTTTAAAAACTGCTTATCATATTGAAATATGTTTCGAACCCTTTTAACGTAAAAATAATGCAATATTAAATTACGATGGTTCGGTGGTAAATTTAAACAAAAACTGGGCACCGAAATTTTTTTTGCACGGAATATTTCAAAACTATAATATATAATAATTTTTTACCTAATTTTTAGTTTTTCTTTCATATAAAAGATATTAAGCTTTATTTTTAAAAACGTTGATTTTTGTTTTTAAAAGTGTCACGTGTACATTTTAAATTTTCTTGCTGTTTCGTGGTACTCAATAAAAAATATTAAAATATCTTTTTTTGTTATTTTTCAAAGTTTTAATTTTTATAATGTTTACAAATCAGTAAGTTTTGTAAATAACGTTAAATTATGGGCATAAACATATGCAACAGTATCATCTATTATTTTACTATTATATAAAAGTATATAAGAGATAATACAATAATAAAAGAAGTATTTATTAATATTATTTGTTCATAACTATGAAATAATAATAATTTTGTCAGGAATAATATAAATAATCACTATATATTAGTAATATATAATTAACACAAACTAATATTTTTTTTATGTGTATGTTTGTTTTCAAAACGGTCTGAAATAACATTCTTAAGATTATTTAATACACGTACATATTTCAAACATTTGTTATTAGCAAATTTCCTAAGCTCATCAACTTTTTCTAAAATGATTTTACAGGAATTTATATTAAACCCACGCTACCTCGTTCAATATCAAGTTGTACATGCTATTTTTTAATGAACTCACTTGTTTCACTTTCAAGTTCTGTCAACATGAGATTCATAATCATATTGACAACACTCAGCATTAAATTCAACTCAAGTGGAATCAATATATAAATAATTTTTTTTTCTTTAACATTTTCAAATATTGACTTATATTCACAATTTTCAAAAAAATTTACTTTTTTATGACTTATCCATCCAATTCTTCAAATTCTCTAAGCAACTAATAGTCCTTTTATCAACGCGATTCAATAAATTGTCTTTGTTAATCTTGCACGATGCACAAAGAATGACAGAAGAATGAGGTGGTAACTTAAGAATTTATTAGCTAATTTAAATCACCAAAAACAACACTATCATTGTTATCAAAATTACAATTATTTATTATTATTTATTTTTAATAACTTCCATAGTATACAAATATTCTGCAATTTTCTTGTACTTTTGATGCAATAATAAATAATTTTTTACTCGACTATTTTTAAATTTATTTATATTTTCATTAGTTTCTATAATAATTGTAAATTACAAATTAAGACATATTTTAAAAAAATACTTCCTACCACCTAAACCAATTTTGATTAAATAATTTTAGTTATATTTCTCACTGTTAATACACATAAATTATTTATTTATCACATTACAATATAGAGCCACCCGTGGAGCATAAATTTCGTTATAATTTCTTAATTTAACAAAATATATTTTCTTAGTTTCAAAAAAAAAAAAACAGATAATATTCTGTTTTTATGGAATAGCATAGAGCAAAATTCGGTTCGAATAACTTTCTATTTTTCGTTTCTTTCCGTTAACTTACAGCAAAATCTATTGTGGTTTTATAACTTTAATTATACTTATTTTAAACGTTTTAATACTTAAAACATTACCCAAACATAAAATTTAAATTAAGTTAAAATAAGGGCTTAAAATCCTTTTCATACACATTTCCAGTTACACTAAAACGTATAATAACGACAAGTAACAAATAAATTTAAACAAAATGAAACGAAAAACAAAATAAAGAAGAAAAATAATATTATTTAACTTATAAGGTACAATGAATTTGTGAAAAATATAATCAACACAAGCAATTCAGTGTTACGTAACATAAAATCTATTCAAGGGAAATTCTTACATGTCAGTAACGACGGAATAATTCTTAATAACTTAATAACGTTTGAATACTGAAAAACGTAAAACATAAAAAACTGATATTGTTTAAATACAGCAAAACGAAAAACATCATAAATCCATACCGTTTTAATTAATTAAAATGTATAATGCAATAATATTGTTAACGTTTTAACTGTTATA